GGGATTCTCCACTGGCACACAGAGGAGAAGGCCACCTTACATGTCTGCTGTGATCTGCCTTGCTCTCACTTGCTGAGGATAATGGCATACACACTGCTTCTCACTTTCTTGTTGCCAGACTTCGTACTGAGCAGCCCAGGAGCAGTCACTCAGACCCGAATGTCTTGACCATGTTGTTTTTAATCACTGTGACCTTTAAAGTACAGGCCAAGTGTTGTCAAATACCTTGGCTGAAACAGTGGAGGGTGGTGGGTAAAGCAATTGAGGGTGCTTTCCCTCAACCAGTAGTTCCTCCTGAGGGAACCACACACTGGCTGAGCTGCCACCAATTGCCACGATGAACCCAACTGTTGTTTATGCCCTTATTTTCCTTTTTTTGTATCTATACCCACACAATTCCCAATGTTGGATATTTCTACGTGAATAAAGCAAGGATTGGTGCCTCTTGTGTAATTAGCACTCCATTGCTTTTGTGTATGTATGTGTGTTTTGTTTCTTTACTTAGTGGGACCCCTTAGGGGAAGGAATGATACTTTTCAGTTTGGTAACAGGTTGATAAATAGATTGGTGAATTCAACCTGTTTTTAACTTCATTCTTGAAGCAGATTCTCAGTACTGATCCAGCCCCTTTAAGGTAGTCCAGTTGAGATAACTGACTAAATTGGATTGAAAACACATGAAAAATGATGGGTTCTATGTTACTCATACACAGTAGCATCAACCTCTTCTGTCTCTACAATCTCTCAACAACCAAAGGAACCTTGCAATGTGGTGATAAAGCAAAGGCAATATCAAGAGTTTCTGATCAAGAGCCACTTTCTAGTTTTGGAAGGGAACCAGACCATCATTTCCAAAGTGTCTTAGGAAACAATGTTGAAGACTGTTCCTAATTATGCAAAGGAAAGGAAGGGGGTTTTCATGGTAAAGAAAAATCAAAGCAAGCAGGTTTCATAACTACCTGACAAGTCTTTAATGTGGTGATGTGCATTTCTTTTTCCTTTTTTGAGACAGTCTTGCTCTGTTGCCCAGGCTGGAGTGCAGTGGCAAGATCTCAGGTTACTGCAACCTCTGCCTCCCAGGTTCAGGTGATACTCCTGCCTTAGCCTCCCAAGTAGCTGGGATTACAGGCACCTGCCACCATGCCCAGCTAATTTTTGTGTTTTTAGTGGGGACAGGGTTTCACCGTGTTGAGACTTGGGAGGGATGGCTCCATGTTGGCTGGGCTGCTCTCGAACTCCTGACCTCACGTGATCCACCCGCCCTGGCCTCCCAACGTGCTGGGATTATAGGCAAGAGCCGCTGCACCTGGCCAGTGATGTACATTTTCATCAGCACACAGAAAACATGCAGTTGTAGCTCTACTTTTTAGAAAATTTTGATTCCATGCCCCTCACCCTCACCTACAGAAAACTTTGAAAAGCTTTTCCTGAGGTGTCTACCTGGCTCACTCCCAGACTTCCTTGGGTCCTGCCCAAAATGAAGACGGTTTCTCCAGCACACCATGATGTTCAGTGTCGAGAGCAGACACTTCTTTTGTTCACTCATGTATCCCCAATACTGGGAGCAGGCAATGCCTAGAAAGTTGTAGGTGACAGGTATTTGAGCCAGTTTCCTTAAAGGGAGTACAAAATACACAGAATTTTGTACTTCTCTCCCCTCACCTGACAAACATGTTACAGGGTAAGTTCTGCAGAAAAAGTGCAATGTTATGTGAGGTCCCAGCTATGCATCTTGCCTTCCCCTTCCAGATATTTAGTCTGACAATGCTGAGGTTTTACAATTGAACAGAACATTCAATTTTGCAATGTGTTCTTAGAAGGGCCTTGCAGCATGTGAGCTGGTCTTTAATTGGGAAGATGAAATTATAACTTAAAATATTAAATTCCCATAATCCTAACACCATATAACTTTTTAGTATCAAGATCATTTTTCCAAGTTATTACAGGCTTCATTATTTTAAAAGACTATGTAAGAATCCATCCATATTATGACATAGCTTGTTAAATCAGTACCCTAATGGCAAGTGGTTGCTAATTCTTGATGCCAAGCATGGGTTTTGAACAGTCCGCAGTGGCAGTCCTCCAATGCTACTGATCATTGTTATCCTGTTTCTCAGCTATAAAATGGGGAAGGTAACGGTAAGGTAGTATTTCTAACCCAGGCCTGCCTGTCACATAGAACTATTTTCCTTTTATTGGGCTGAATTTTCAGGGTGGAATTTCAGGGTCAGGGTTGCCTGAGCTCAGGCGTTCAAGACCAGCCTGGGCAACATGGTGAAACCCCATCTGTACCAAAATTACAAAAAAAACTAGCCAGGTGTGGTAGCACATGCTTGTGGTCTCAGCTACTCAGGAGGCTGAGGTGGGAGGATTGCTTGAGCCTAGAGGCAGAGGTTGCAGTGAGCAGGGATCGTACCACTGCACTCCAACCTGGATGACCGAGTGAGACCTCCCATCTCAAAAAAAATGTTTGTGTGTGTGTAACACAGTAATTAGATGGTAAGATCTGTGATGGAAGTAGCACATAGGAGGGCAGTTCTAATTCAGGCCAGCAAAGTTTCTTTGAGCAGGCAACTTCTGAGCTGTTACAAAAGATAAGGGTTAGCCAGTGGTGGGGAGGGGGAAGACAGACGAGGTAAAGAGAACTGCATGTGTAAAGGCACAAGCCAGACAGCACAGGTCTTACCACAATTTATTCCATGTGGCTTGAGACTAGGAGGCAGATTACGGGAGGGGAGGTGTTGAGAAGGGGGATGGTGATAAAGAGGACAGCCGAGTAGGAAAAGCAGCAAGGAGACTAGTTAGAGGTTGTTGCGAAAGTCCAAGTAAGATGCAGAAAGGGCCTAAGGTACCAGGGAAAAATTAATACAGAGAGGGAAGAGTGGAGGGGTTGACACGGTAAGTGGGAACTGAACAAGGTCCTTGTGGACATCCAAGTACAGTTATGAGATGGCCATCTGTACCCACTCCCCTGGTGTTGAGGGGAGAAAATGAGTTAGAGATGAAGATCATGGAGCTGTGAGTGGAGTCTGAGGCCATGGATGAGGTCATCCAGGGAGTGAGCACAGAGAAAGAGGGTAGACAGATGGAGGCATACAGGAAGAGTCAGCAAGGGAAACTGGAGTGCTCAGAGGAGAGCCGGGAGAGGCTGTTGTCACAAAAACCACGAGGAATTTCAGAGTTGTTTATTACGACAGGGTCAGGGAAGGTTTGTATCGTGCCTCTACCTCCTTCAAGTGACACGATCTTGGGTGAATTAGTCAATCTTAAATTTCAGTTTCCCAATTGTGAGGAATAAATAATGTAATCTGTGTAAAGAACTTAGAAGGGAACCCAGTAAATGCTACATATATGCACACGTGCACACGCGTACACACACACACACACCCCTACACACACACCCCTCTTTCGGTAGAGCCAAATTCTGCAGAGGTGGAATACAATTAAGAATACAAAGGTGGCTGAGTGCAGCAGCTCAAGTCTGTAATCCCAGCACTTCGGGAGGCTGAAGCAAGAGGATCGCTTGAGCCCAGGAGTTTACGAACAGACTGAGCAACATAGGGAAACTCCCATCTCTACAAATAATTTAAAAATTAGCTGCAAAGTCTGAGCACTGTCCAAAGCCTCTACCCTCTACCAAAACCTGAAGCCAAAGCCCAGGGGGAAGCTTCCTTGGAGGCTGTAGACCTGGTTGGTTTGAAACTGGGAGTTTTCAATAAGGATTCCAGTGGATCTGCAAACTTAGAGGAACATGTAAAGATGGAGGGAAAAACCTAAAACCCTTTCTGATGATGGGGTTGAATTTCCTGTATTGTAGGAAGGCTTCCAGAGGCGAGAACAAGTGATTCAAGGGCAGTTGGAGGGTCTGGGATACTTCTCAGAGGTGGTGATACCACAGCAGCAGCTTCGTGCTGAGCAGCTATTTCCCAGGTAGAGAAAGGAGCAGGAAGAGTATGTGCCAGGCCTGGAACAAAGCCTGTTTCTGGGTGCCGCCCTCCCACAGCTCCATACCAACAAAACCAGCCTAAGTGGCCAAATTTGAATCCCACAGTTCACTGGACCAGGGTGGGTACTTGTAACCTATAAGTGATTAGAGGAAAAAAGTTGCAATGGCAGTTGATTCTTTCTTGGGAACTTGAATATGGGGACAATGGATCCATTCATTATTGGGAATAAACGGGGAAGGAGGTGACATTAGCGGTACACAATGTGCATGTATAAGCTGTGAAGCAGCAAAAGTTTGAAGGAACCCAGTCAACTGTTAGAGAACGAATGTCTAGATGGGTGGCCTAAGACGGGCAGACAGGCTGTGTGTATCCTGATGCAAACTTTCTACTGCTTGCTGTCACTGGAGTGAAGCTCTATTCCTCGCTACCAAACCTGCCTGGAGTGAAGAACTTGTGTGTTTTGTGAGGCTGAGATGTAGGGTTTGTGGTGGGAGGTGGGGGTGGGGGCAGAAGTGGTAAGAAGAAACAGGAGAGGCCAGAGTAAATAGGATCTTATACCCCACATTCTGGAGGTGAGATTTTTGTCCTGGTGATGAAGAGTCAGTAAAGGGATTTTAGGCAGAGAAGGACTGCATGGCTGCTGGGAGATGGTATAGGACAGAAGCAGGAGACTGGGAGGCTGGTGGGAGGACAAAGTCCAAGTGAAAAAAAATTAGTATCCTAAGCCAGAAGAGAGAAGGTAGAGTGTGACAGATTCTAGAATCCTTTTAAGAGCTGGGAAAGACCAGACTTAGTGAGCAGCTGGGGAAAGAGATAAGGTCTTAACCTACCATGGAGTAAACCAAGTGGGTCACAACTGCTTGACAATTGAGCAAGATGCTCAAAGGCCAGCATATCCAACTATTCCCAGTGGTCCCACTGGCCATTTTAATCACCACTGAGGACACTAAGGTCCAGATGGGTCAGTATTAGGAACCCCAGACCGGCTTTTTGGTGGGCAGAAGGGCCAGGATATCTTCCTGAGAAAACACAAACCATCCCATCTCAGAGCAGGTTGGGATCCAATCTCTTTATTGTCAGGGTCCCCTCCCTGTATTCCCTCCCCCCGGCCCCCGCCAAACCTATAGAAAAACCCCAAGCCTGGGAGTGTCCTGGGGAGAGGAGGCAGAGTGCTCTACCCTCTGGCCCGGGCAGTGCAGATAGGGAGGGTTCACGGGGAAGGAGTAGGCCAGTAACTCCACCTGCAGAGGACACAGCACTGGCTGGGATGCGTTGCGGGAGGAGGCGCCTGCTGCCAGCTTTCCTCTGGTACCCGCTGGGGGGTGGCATCCAGGGATGGGTGCCCGACTTGAGGCCTAGGGCAGTAATGCCCTTCTCCTGCTGGCCATTGCTCCTGTCAGGCTGAGGAAGAGAGAGACAAAGAAGAGACTAAGGCTGAGAGAGAGACCCTGGTGCTCTTGATAACAGGAGTAGGGAAGAAAGGGTGCAATGATGCCTGCAGACAGAGAGATTCTTGCACTCTGGCTGTGGCCTCATAATTTCCTGGCCACGTAACCTTGGGCAAATCTCATCCATTCTCTGAACCTCCATTTCCTCACCTTAGCCCATGTAACTCACGTGTGAATTATTTTAACAAGGTTTAGTAAGCCCCAAGCACAAAGAGGTGTGGCAGGATGGCTGGATATGGAGGTTTGTTTGCCTCCCAGGGAAAACAAATCAAAACGTTCCAAGAGGAAGATTACCTATGTTGAATTTTCTAAAGCTGTTCTGGAAGCCTTTGCTGGTGGGATCTTACTACAGCATAAATGTGTCATCTATCCAGACTCCTCCCTTTCTCCACCCAAGCCACCCCAAGAGAAAGGGTCAGAGAGTAGGCAGAGCTAGGTTCTGCCTGGCTTTCCTTTACGGTAGAGCAGAATAGGTGGTGAACAGTGGCCAGAGAGTAGGCTTTGAAGCCACACACAACTGGGCTGAAATCCAGGCTCCATCAGTTACTACCTTATCTCCCTTCACCCTTTAGTGTCTGTTTCCACATCTGTTATATTGGCACAATCATAAGCTTGTGGGATTGAAGATGAAATCAGATAAAGCAGGGGCAGCTCCTGTCACAGAGGGCATTTCCTCCCTATGAAAGAATCAAGTCCCCGCCCCTAAGCCTGACACATATGGCCCTTCACAATTATCACTCTCTGATGATAAGCAGAGTCCTCTACCAACTAGGAGGGCACTGCAGCCAAAGGAGGCTCTTGGCCTCACCATATACCAGGGACTGTCACAGCTCTGTAGGGCTAAGGCCATTCTTCTGGTGTGAAACTCTTCTCCCTCAATAACTAGCAGGCTCAGCTACACATCATCTCTTCCATGACCTGGCTTTGCTCTATAGTTATCCTGCTCACACTAGGTGGTAATGGCTTATATCCTCCTCTACCAGACTAGGAGCTCCTCAAGGATAGAGACAGGCAACAGGGCTGAGTGTGCTGAGAGAAGGAACCCTTGGTAGGTGGGACTGGGTGGCCCATCTATGGTACCTGCTTCCTCAGCCTGGCAAGCCCCAGGCATGAAAGGATGTGGTGGGATGGCTAGATATGGGGGGGACTTCATTCTTGGGCACAGTCAGTGCTACCTGGCCAGGTATGCTTCATGATACTTCCTGCCCAACCCAGGGAAAAGGCACAACCTCCACTTCACTGCTTCCCCACCCCCTACCCATCAGGACAGGATCCTTGTACCTGCTTACTGCAAGGCCCCATCGTCCGCGTCTGTGTCCTGGCTGTGTTCCTGATGAGGAGGTAAGAGAGATCACACATCACTCATTGCCAGCGCTGAGTCCTGCCCTGAGCCATTTGTCCAGAAAGATTTCAGGGCCCAGAGAGCATCTAGACGACATAGTCAGAAAGAGGCAGAAACAGCCAAGGGGAATAACTATGGGACCAGCCAACAAAGCTGGCTTGGGAACTTGGGAAAGTGGTCTGAGGGCCCCACAGAAAAGAGACGGGCCAGTCAAGGGAGTTTTGGGAGTGGAGGAGGCCCATTTTTGTGCATAGAGAGCTTGCAGTGGAGAAGGCGGAAAGCCTCACAGACTGGTGAGCTCCCCATCTTTGGGGGGACACCTAAACCTTTCTTTTTTTTTTTTTTTTTTTTTTTTTTTGAGACAGAGTTTTGCTCTCGTTGCCCAGGCTGGAGTGCAATGGCGCGATCTTGGTTCACCACAACCTCTGCCTCCGGGGTGTAAGCGATTCTCCTGCCTCTGCCTCCTGAGTAGCCAGGATTACAGGCATGTGCCCCCATGCCTGGCTAATTTTGTATTTTTAGTAGAGACAGGGTTTCTCCATGTTGGGCAGGATGGTCTTGAACTCCCAACCTCAGGTGATTCTCCCACCTCAGCCTCCCAAAATGCTGGGATTACAGGCGTGAGCCACAGCGCCTGGCCCATCTAAGTCTTTGTTAGGGTCTTTATGGACACTGCTATGCCTGAGAAAGTAAAAGGATAAAGCTAGGCTCAAAAGAGAGATGAGCTAGGCGTAAGGCAGACCTCTTAACTGTCATGGCCATAAGCCTATCTGTTCTCATGACAGAACCCAGTAGGGCTGAAAAAGAGAAAGTGCAGACCCAGTAAGTCAGTCTGGGCTCCAACCCTGGCTCAGTCCCTATGAGCTGAAGCCTGAGCACACCACTGAGCCTCAGTTTCCTCACAGGGTAAAATGTGGGAACAGAATACTTGCATCGCACAGGGCTCCTGTTAAGGTTATGTAAAGTTGAGAGTATGGTCTGGGTCTGGTGCTCAATGAGAGTTCATTAAATAAATAAGCAGCAAATGTACAACCCGTATCCCATAAACTCAGAGTTTGGTATACCCTCCCCTCAACATAAGCTGCTTGTCAAATGGCCTCCCAGCTTCAGCCTGAATAGTTCTAGTAATAGGCGGGGAGCTCACCCCCTTATGAGACAGCTTGCTTCATGCTTGAGCAGCAATGGCTTTTAGAAAATTCTCATGTGGAGGTGACACCCACCTCCCTGCGGTGGCCTCCCCGAGCCTCCCCAGCCCTGTTCTGAAGCTCTGCAGGCTGTGTGTGCTCCCTTATGTCCAAATCTCCCCTTCTCCAACTCGTGGAAAACAAAGGGCACAATGTGCCTAGGCTTGGGAGATGTCTGCCCTAGGCATCAGTGGGACTTCTGATGGTGTCTGAGATGGCAAGTGCCCCCTGCTCATTCTTAGAACCCCTGGGAAGGAGAGAAGGGGGAGCTCACAGTGGGGGCAAGCAGCTCAGAGGCTGCCCCTTCCCCTGTTGCCCTCCTGAGAGTAGGAGTGCAGTCGAGTTCCAGTCGTGCTCCTATCCAGGCCCTCACCAGCTCTTCCTCACTATGTGTCAGCAGCCCCTCCTCATCGCCGTCGTCTCGAGTCCGTGCTTCTCCCTGGGGCAGGCCTGCCTCAGACGTCGTGTTCTCTTGGGGGACTGGTGGCCGGCTGCTGCCACCGCCACCACCACTGCCGCTGCCACCGCCGCCGCCGCCGCTGCCGCTGCCACCACCACCACCACCGCTGCCGCCACCACCATCACCTTTCTTCTTGCCATCTTAAAGGGAAGGGGTGGAGGAGAGGGGAATAAAACTCAGCCTGGGACAGCTGCCTAGGGCAGCACCTTAGTGGAAGCTGGCCTCAGCATGGATCTGCAGGGTCACTCTAGCTCCTCTCTCCCAGGTACTATCCTCCCCATGCTCTGCCCTGTGCCCTGGTCATGGAGGTGGGTGAGAATCCTGAGAGGCTGACCTGGATTGGCCTTCTGCTCCGCAGCGATCTGCTCCAAGCGGCTCAGCAGGGCGTCGATATTGGACTTGATCTGTGTCAGCTCCGTCTTGATGGCCTGAAGCTCACTGCTCTTTACTGAAAGTGGAGGGGAGACAGGGCTGTTACCTAGGAGGCTGAAGGCCTGACACTAGCACAAAACCTCAGCCCTGTTCTCTCAACTAGGAAGGCAGTTATTTTTTGTTTTTTGCCCCTGCTCAGGAAAAATGCCTCACACTTCTGAACCTGGCTATCTTGTCTCCCAATCTCTCAGCTCTGAAAGGGACAGCGGACAGATTGGAGCACAGGTGTGTATGTGTGGTGTGCTCTTCTGTGTGCACTTGAGCAAGAACATGTGTTTTTCACAGTCCGAATCCCTGGGTGCTAAGTCAAGCAGTATGTGTACACCGGAGTGAATATGGAGTAGTGGGCCTGTGTAGACCTGTCCTTATCCTTACTAGAGGAAAGATGGCACCATCCCCTCACTGGGTACCACATCCCAGCACTGGACTCTTTGTGCCCAACCCACCCCCTCTTCCTAAAACATCAGCTGTTTCCTCTTAGAAATGCATGAAAATACTCACTTGGCTGTGTTAGAGCAGCAGAACTGTGGAAGATTTGTTCTTTTATCTATTTCCCAATGTATAAAAATGTGATTCTATTATTTTGCTAATGATAAAAATGCAAATTACTTAGGAAGATGATACAGTCACTTACACTTAATCTTGGCTGAGCTGGTGGTGATGGCTGTGGAGCGGGCAAAGAGCTTGACAGGTATGTTAGTTTTGACACGCCGGACCAAAGGAACTGTGACCCGGGGTCGCTTCACAGGGACTGCCCTGGGCACTGGCACAGGTGACAGACGGCCGCGGTAGTCAAAGAGCCTGTGAGGGCAGATGGGCCAGAGGCTGCAGCATGGCTTGTGGCCACCAGGGGGTATTGCAGCTCCAGCTCCAAATGTGTGTGGCTGCTGAGGGGCTGCGAGGCCTGCACTACACACCTCTGCCTGCTCCCACCAAGCCCTGGAGTGAAGAGGAAGGGCTTTCTGGAGCCTAATGGCTGCTGGGATTCTCACTACATCCATCTCAACCAGCCAGGAGAAATATGGGCAGGCAAGGCAGCAGGTAGTGTTTATACCCCATTCAAAAGAGGAGACATTCCTAGATCCCCTAATACCCAGATCTGCTCTATCATATGACCTGGTTTCTGCTCGGTCAACTGCCACCCCAACCTCTGCTCAGAGTTTGCAGATCTCGAAGCAGCACAAATCCCCAGCTAGGAATAAGAGCAGTATCGGAGTGGGGTCAACTGAGACTGTCTGAGCCTCAGTTTCCCCATATGCCAAATGAGGACGGCTACCCAAATTCAGTGTCCACCCAAGGGCACAGCATAAAAGAATTCAGTTAAAAACACACTTTTAAAAGGCGTAATAGATGAGAGGTTAGGGTACCAAGACCCTCAACTCACGAGCCCATGACCTCAGAGGGGTAAGACTGAACTCTAAGCCCTTTCCTGATTCGACCTCCTTAATCACCATACCCTTCGTGCTCCATTCCAGAGACAAAGGGCAGGGGCCTGGTAGAATATCAAGGTTGGACAGCTCAATCAGAGCCCCTCAGGGCTCCCGGGCTGTGTGCTGCCCCCCAACCAAAGTCATCTCCCAGCCTTCTCCAGGAGGGCTTCTTTTCCAGCTGACCAGGTAGAAACTCAGTAGGCTGAGAAGCAGTCTCTCCCGCATCTGTTGCTATCACCTTTTTCAGGGAATTGCAGCCCTAGGGGGTATACTTTGGATCAATTTTCCTGACAACAGCCAGAAAATCTGCCATCACTCGGCAAAAGCCCCCATTCCTTGGTGCTCCTTTGTTCAGGGAGCCCTCTCTGGAGGTGGTGAGGGCTGCGGATGGAGAATCTCTGGGAATGAATCCAATCCCAGACCCTGCATTTCTGCCCCACCAAGGGGAGGGGACGGCTCTGGCCTTGGTCAGAATCACTGAACCACAGAATCCCAGAGTTGGAGGAACCCGGAGAGATCACTTGGTGTAAGCCCATTTACAAACTGGGAAGGAAATTTGCCCAAGGTCACTTAATCCATTCAGCGGCAGAGCAGAGATTAGCACCTACATCTTCTGACTCCCAGGCTAAGGCACTTTTCACACTATAACGACTGTCTCCTGAAACGATTTGGGGGGTGGGGGGACAGCTGATGCTCAGAGGTACTATTCTTCTTGGGCTGCCCGGGGTGGGCTAAGCTATAGGAAAGCAGAGAAGCAGAAGCAGAAGCAGAAGCAGAAGCAGGGAGGAGGAGAGATTTATGTTAGTCCCCACTATGATTTTTACTCAAGAATGTGGCTAATTCTGTTGTAGCTGGAGCCCACAGCCTCAGGGCTAGAGGCTGGGTAAGGCTTGGGAGTGGAGGGTAGGCCACAGCCTGTAAGGGACCAATTAAACTTACAAATGGCTGCTGACCTCTTGTCTCTAAATACAAACCCAAGAGGCTTAGAGCTCTGGGGTTCCTACCAGCTGCCTGGGCACCTCACAGAGGGAAAGACTCAAACTCCCTGCTGAACCACAAGTTCAGCACTGTAATACACAACCAGTGCTGAACCCTGCTGTGTATTACAACTGGTCACATTTATATAGCTCTTGGCTGTACAATCTCCTTGAATCTCACCCGAGGACAAGGAGGAAAAAGGACAGTTAGCATGGTAGACAGTGCGGTATGGGGTAAGAGCTCTGGCCTGGGCACCTGCAGAACAGGACCCCAGTCTCAGCTCTGCCACTGACTAGTGGAGCAACCCTGGGCAAATGCCTGGCCATACCTCTGGGCTTTGGTTCTCATTTGGAGAACTGAGTGAGCTGCATCAACAATCTCTCAGGACCCTTCCAGCTTGGCTGTTTCACGCCTGGGCACGCCCCTCCCCTGCTCACCTGTCGTAGAAGTCGTCCCGGTAGTAATCATAGTCAAAGATGTAGCCACTGGGGAAACAAAGGGGAGAGGGCTGGAGCTTAGGGACGGCCACTCAGCCCACTCTCCACAGGCCCTCAACTCCAAACATCTCCCCAAGTTCTAGACTCAGCACACTGTCACACCAGCATTTACTCCCTCCGTGGAAAGAGGGAGACGTCCCACCCAGACAGACAGACTGCCCCACCTGTATATGGCAGATGCTGCTCTCTTTAGTCCCTTGGGTCTGTCAGGCTTAGGCTCTCCAGCCATGTTGATGTCTATGTAGAGAGAGAAGGCAGAGTTGGAATGCTGGCATGATAGTAGTGTGTCCACACACATCACCCTCATGTACACACATAGCAATTCATGTGCTTACATGATATACACATAGATTCATGGATTTTGCTTATGTTGCCAACAAAGGTCTTCATACATCTAGTCTTCAAACATTAGACTCATATCCAGATATCATATGGATATGCCTGTTTACATGTCCACTTTCAGATACATCCATGCATGCTCACAAATGTGTGTCTCACACACACACACACACACACACTATGTAGAGTATTCCTATATGCATTTTCAAATACACTCATGTAAATGCATAATACATACACCAGGTACATGGGAACATATACATAGAGCCACCCTCACACACACATTTACATATCCAGGTAAGAAAGTCACACACAAGTAACATGTACTCTCAAGTACACTCAGTATAGACAACTGCCCACATGCAAGAGAGCCAATGCACATTCACATGGATGTTCTAGCATACACCTTCATGCCTAGAATGGTGCTTAGTGCATGAAAAGGTCTCAGTAAATATTTTGTAAATGAATATATGCATATCTGCGATACATTCAAGTATTCTTGAATGTATCTCAAAACGCCCATTCTCTCAAACACATTACACCTATACATACAAAGGTATGCATCCACGTATCTCCGCATGTTCAGTCACATCCACATACTTCTTGTTCAGGAAAAAACATATAGACATCCCTTTTCAAACATACACATATACACAGAAGTGCACACACACAAATGCTGGACATACTTCAAGAGAGACCACTAGAACAGTCATATCACATGGACATGACACAAAAGCCAAGGGTATTCACTTTGTCTTGTGCTCCCAGCCCCTCCTGCTCGCTCTCAGAAAGGGTTCTAAACTAAGTCATCTGTACCTGGTGTAACAGGCTATTCTAGGCCACTCTATTCTCTTTCTCTGGAGAATCTGCATTTTAACTGGAGCTGTAAAGCCTGTCACTAAGAAGCTCTGAGAAAGCACGGACAGGTCAGAAGTGTTTTCCAGAGGCTTCTAAAATTCTTCCGTATAGGGATTAATTTTATAACTACTGAAAACTTACATAGTTTATAAACTGATAAAATCTTAGAGCAGTGGTAGCAGTGAGAGAAACAGAGAAGGGGGTTAAAGAGGAGAATTACATAGTGAGAGCAGCTATTCTAACTCTAGAGAATACAGTGGAGAGAGGCTTACCCAGGGTCTGCCCGGCCAGCACCCGCCCATTCTCTCCCAGCACAGCTGCCCGGGCATGGCGCTCGTTGGAGTACTGAACAAAGGCATAGCCCTTGTGCACAGAACAGCCAGCCACACGGCCATACTTAGAGAAGATGGTCTCCACATCTGACTTCTTCACCAGAGCTGTGTTGAGGTTTCCAATGAAGACTCGAGAGTTGATGGACTTGGGGTCATTCTTGTTGGTTACATTACTTGCCTGAATCTTCAAGGACATGGTGCCCACCTGAAGAAAGAGAGCCTCTGTGAAGCTGGGTCCCTGAGCTGGGCTCAAGGACTGCCTATGGCCCATATCCTGGCTAAATGAATTGCTTCTTACCTTCCTTAACCCTTACAGCATCCAGCCTACCTGTTTCTGCATCTTATTATGCTGACCTCGTGCCAGGTGCTTTACATACATTCTCTTATTTGGTACTCATATGATATGCAGAACTACAACATTTTACAAGGGAGAAATCTCACATTCAGAGAGACCACAATGTTAGTGAATGGCAGGGCTGGGATCTGCCCCCTGATTTGCTTGACTCTAATTCTTTTGAGTCTACTCCTTTAATGCTCATCTGAAATGTTATCCTATTCAGGATCTAAATTTGAAGATCTTTAATGCAGAACCATCGTCACATGGTAATTGCAAGTGATGTTTAATCTAGATCACCACCATATGTTGAAAATTGCAGGGTCTGGGCACCATGGCTCATGCCTGTAATCCCAGCACTTTGGGAGGCCGAGGCAGGTGCATCACCTGAGGTCAGGAATTCGAGGCCACCCGGGCCAACATGGTGAAACCCTGTCTCTACTAAAAATACAAAAAATTAGCTGGGTGTGGTGGCAGGCACCTGTAGTCCCAGCTACTCAAGAGGTTGAGGCAGGAAAATTGCTTGAACCCGGGAGGTAGAGGTTGCAGTGATCTGAGATTGCAGCACTGCACTCCAGTCTGGGCGACAGAGCAAGGCTCTGTCTCAAAAGAAAAAAAAAGAAAAGGAAAAGAAAATTACTTACTCTGATCCAGATACAGACCTAGCTATAACTGTCTGAATTGGTACCAGCCATTTTGAAAAACATATGTTAGCTAAGCCTGATATGGTTTGAATTTGTGTCCAAACCCAAATCTCATGTCTAATTGTAATCCCCAGTGTTGGAGGTGAGGCCTGGTGGGAGGTGACTGGATCATGGTGACTGAAATCATGGATATCCCCCCTGGTGCTGCTCTCGTGATAGTGAGTGAGTGAGTGCTCGTGAGATCTGCTTATTTAGAAGTGTATAGCACCTCCCACCATCTCTTTTCCTCCTGCTCTGGCCATGTGAAGATGTGCCTATGTCCCCTTCACCTTCCACTATGATTCTAAGTTTCCTAGGGCCTCCCGAGAAGCAGAAGCCTGTACAGCCTCTAGAGCTGAGTCAATTAGACTTCTTTTCATTATAAATTAACCAGTCTCAGTTATTTCTTTGTAACAGTGCAAGAATGGACAAATACAAAGCCTTACCAGGCACTCACTGTGGGCTAAGGTGGCATACAATACTGAACAATCCCAAGATCCCACAAGTGAATGTTATTATTACTCATATTTTACTAGAAACTGTACAACAAGTTCATTAACTTACTAGTAATGAGCATCCAAACCCAGGTCAGTCTGTCCCTAAAGTCTATTTCTTTCAACTTTATCGTTTTGCTTCCCAGAGCTAAAGCCAATTTAGATACTACAGAAAGTCAGCCCATTCACCTAAGAACTATTTTTAATGAATTTATTTTTTAGTTACCCATATTAATACTAACTCATTCAAATTTGGTTCTGCTTGGCTTAGAGATGAGACTGCACCTACCCTTGGCTCTCTATACTCTGGCCAGGTCTTTTACCCCAAAGGGCTATACAAATGTTTCCCGGTTTACAGCTGGGCATGGGCTCCAAGGGGAAAGGGGAAAACAGAGAAACTCAATTTCAGTAGGAAAAGCCAAAAGTTAAGCCTTGGCATTCACAGTTCCCAGCCCAGTCTCCTGCTCATTGGTATGGGTTGATGCTGCTCCCTTTTGGAACCCTCCTATCTCAATGCTCTAACCCTAAGGCCATTTCAGAAGGTGATAAAAGACTCCAAATAGCATATATAAAAACTTTCATCAGTATGCCAGCCTATTTACCTAATACTTTGGGAAGGGGGGGGTTTCTTTTCAGTGAACTGGAGAAGATATATCTGTATCTCTTATCCCAATAGGGGATAAGAGACTGTTTTCTCCTAAATCCTCCTAGCCTGGAAGCTGGAATGTTCTCACCAGCAGGTGGTACTGTTTACAAGGAAATCATAGGCTGGACCTGAGCCCAACTTGGGAAAAAACTGCTCCCAGGGTGAACTTAATGGATACACTGGAGTCAGGAGTGCATTATCTTAGATTAAGGAAAAGGGTTGAGAGGGTGCCATCACTGCTACTGATGAAGGGGCTGGTGCCAGCTTTGGAACTGACTTGGAAAAAGACTTTTGTTACTCAGTTTACCTTTGGTTCCACTCATCTACATTTGTTAAGCAGTGAGGGACACAAAGGTAGTAACACATTGTGCATACGAAGCAGGAAATACTCAATGCATGTTGTTCCCACAGGCTCGCCATTCCTCACAGTTCTGAGAGTCCTTCTCCTACCTGGATGACAAGCCATTCAAGGGTTAATTCCTTGTCTATCCATGGGTATACAAGAAGTTAACAGGGCTCCTGTGTGGGCATCAGATGATTCTCTCCTGGGTGGTTCAGCTCAAAGCGTTATAGTTTTGGCCCAGGGAGAAGCCACTTGCTTTGGTTAAAGGGAGCCAACCAAGCCTGGGGTATGGATGGAGATAGAAAGAATGACCTCTACTGGGAGCCTCAAACAACACCGAGCAGGAAGCATCTGCTGAACCAGCTATTCCTCATACTGTGATCAGTACTCACTCCTTGACTGGTGAGCCAAGTTTTTCGGGTTTGGCCCTGCCAGTCTTTTCTCTCATTCCCTGGAGTTTGGAATGATGCACATAAAAGGACTTTGCAAACCATAAAGCCCTTTTACAAAACCTTGTAATTACTCTGGCTGACACCTCTTTATTCCAATACTGCCAGCTGTGAGCCCGTTCTAGATGAGGGTAAAGGTCAGAGTGGAAAACATTCTGTATAATGCCAAGGAGGGGAAACCAGAAGCCATGGCACATGAAGATCTATAGAGCAGAGACTGGGAACTGTGTGTATGTGGCTGCATGTGGTTGCTCTGGAGAAATCTGCAGTTAAAAGGAGAACTGCCCATCTGTAGCATGCTCTAGGTATCATACCTCTGAACTCCTCATCTACACAGCCTCCAATCCACTTTCATGCCCTGCACACTCCTTTGGAAGGCAGGATGGGCAGGATGTGCCACTATTGTGTAGGACTCCCTCAGCCCAAGGAGACAGGTAACTGTGGGGGCGTGGACAGGCTTGAGTGACCACACTCTTGTTGATGAGACTCCTCTAAGTGAGGGATAGAGTTGAGAATGGAAATGAAAAGGAGGTGGGGGCCAGACTAGGTCTCCCTGAACTGACAGGTTCAGGTACAGAATCCTAACGAGTCCAAGAATTCTAAATTCAGATACAGTATTCCAGGTTGTTGGGAACATCACAATTTATTAGCTTCACTCAGAACTTCAAATGTTTAAACATATGGTACATGGGTCTCTACTTGTACTCTTATTACTCTGCCCTGAAAATGTTATAGGACAGGCCTGACAAAATCTGGGACACAGTTAAGCCCTCAATCAATGTTAGGGAGGGAGTGGTTAAGGATATGTTGCAGAAGATGTTGAGAAGGTCTAGCTGTGGGCTGCCTTAAATTGTCAGGACCACTGGGGCAGAGGTCCCACATACCTTTTTCTAACCTTTGACCCAAGTATCCACCTCCACAGATCAACTCAAACCCTCCCACCCAACTCTTGCTATGCTTTTCAAGGTTTCCCCCTAGCTTGGAGTGGCAGCCCTAGAAAATATTGATATCCAATTCAGCAGAAGGTGCTTGACTGGGTAAGCTACTTCCTGCCCTGGGCCAAGCTCTGCCTCACAGATAAGCTGTGTAATTGAGAGCAAAGTGTCTGCAGCCCCCTGGGGTCCTAAGTTTAGCAATGAGCTGAGGAGAAGTGGGTAGAAAGACTGTTCTTGGTGGCTGGGGGAGGGGAGAGAACCACATTTGTTCCTAAACTTCTGCACTTCAGATTAGCAGAGACCTGAGTGCACATGGAACTTGAAATGCTCTCACTCTGAGGAGCAGAAGAGAAGGGACTTGACTAGGATGCCACAGTTAGTGAGTAGCAGTCCTAAGATTACCCCATGGACCCTCTGATGCTAAGTCTAGGGTCCTTATATTCCATTTTTCATTTTGGACCAGAGAGAGAGAGAGAGAGAGAGGTCCCCAGGACAGTGAGGAGCCAAGACAGAGCATCTCAAAAAATAAATAAAAGTTTTGAGAAAACTTGGGACTAGCTTCCCAATTAAGTGTCTTCACCTCTACCTGCAAGAGAAACAATTGCTGCATAAAAGCTGGGCCTTTAAGCTAATTAAAACCCACCAGGGACACAGGCTTTGAAATGCAATTTACAGCTCAAAAGGGATGGGCTTGCTTCTCCAGGCTGGTAAGAACAGAAGTGTGGCAAAAACAAATTCATTTTTTTCCCAGTTGAAACATTTCAGCTGGAAATTGTTTTTGAACATAGAACAGCCAAGCCTGAACATGGAGAAAAGTGACAGGGCTTTGCAGAGGTAGAAAAGCTCTAAAAGTTACCTCTGAACTTTGAGTAAATAAGACACCCAGAGAGATATCACAGTTCTAAGAACTGCCATTGGCTGGGAACAGTGGCTCACGCCTGTAATCCTAGTACTTTGGGAGGCCAAGGCAGGTGGATCACTTGAAGTCAGGAGTTCAGGACCAGCCTGGCCAACATGGCAAAACCCCGTCTCTACTAAAAAAAAAAAAAAAAAAAAAAATTAGCTGGGCATGGTGGCACATGCCTGTAATCCCAGCTACTCAGGAGGCTGAGGCAGGAGAATTGCCTGAACCCAGGAGGTGGAGGTTGCGGTGAGCCGAGATCGCGCCATTGCACTCCAGCCTGGGTAACAAGAGTGAAACTCCATCTCAAAAAATAATAATAATAACTAGCCGGGCATGGTGGTGCACATCTGTAATCCAAGCTACTTGGGAAGCTCTGAGGCAGGAGAACTGCTTGAACCCAGAAGATGGAGGTTGCAG